CACATTTCACTTAAGCCACTGAACCACAATCAGCACATCCAGATGAGCGCAGTCATAAGGTGTGTGGCACTGCAAACACTTATGCAGCGCCACGTACTGAACAGTCTGGTGCTCTTCACGCTGTAAGGGGGTGCTGCCCAAGCATGTGTTGCACTGGGGTGTTTTTTTTGGAAACTGGTGCAACGCATGGTCAGCCAGTGCACACTGCTGAAAAGCGGAGCCAGGCCTCTCGTAGCCGCACTGTGGCTGCCAGCCAGGCTTCGTGCAGCAGAATTGTCACAGCTGCAGCCCCAGGAGGACCCCAGGTAAGGCTGCTGGGGCCAGCCCAATGCTGGCCCCAGTCTTCCCTCCACTACCCAGGGCAACTTGCTGCGTGCCAAAGCATGTATGGTACAGGTGTTCACACTGCTGCTACTTATCCCCGGGGAACCAAATGTCCGTGCACATCTGGACGTGCCCCAGAAAGCTATAAAAACTAACCAGGGGTAAACTAAATTATCAACATAGAGGTAAAAGACTTCCTATTCTGCTGCCAAAGCCCTGTTCCATACAGCTCTCCTGGAAGATACTGATGTCTGTAGGAAATCCAGTAAAATATATTATGCTCCTTTCCTATTACTAGGTAATAAATCAGTCCCAATACTGAATCATTAATGATTGAATTTGAATGACTTAAAAAAAAAAAAAGGCCTCAAGTATCCATATGAAAAAGTGAACCTGACTTATAGTCTAAAGCTGTACAAATAACTGATGTGTTAGTCACTAAAAAAAAAAAAAAAATGGGGTTAAATACTTCATTTCGAAATAATTTTTGACCAGACATGGATTAAAAAAAAAAAAAGTTTTGAAACAGGAAAACCAGAACATTTCAATGCCAATTTTTGACTGAAAAAATGAGGCAAACATGATGTAAATTCTCAAATAATTTGTGCATTTTTCAGGGATTAAAGCATTCTTTTCTGAAAATCTTCTCCCAGCTCTAACTAGAACATCAGTTAAATAGTGTCTTGTTACTTACCTTCTGGAGCAGTATGTAAATTATATTCTGGAAGGGTAAAAAAATAACTGTATTTTCTGCCTTATTTTGCTATAAAAGGAATACATTTGAGCTGCTTCCATATGCACTGCACTGACTGTATAATGACAAGAAGTGACAGTAAAACAAAGACTTTAAGGAATGATGAAATCAACTTTGATGGAAATAGGCAGAGAGCTTGTGTATAAAGAGCAAAGGCTGAGTATTTCACTGGCCTATGGATTATCTTATAGTTTCATAGTTTTAGGGTCGGAAGGGACCTAATAGATCTTCTAGCCCGACCCCCTGCCAGGGCGGGAGAACAACAAAAGAACCCTAAACAAAAAACGGGACTCAAATGAGTCCAGCCAGGTAGGTATCCAGCCTCTTCTTAAAGATCCCCAGGGTAGGGGCCAGCACCACCTCCCTTGGAAGTTGGTTCCAGCTCCTAGCTGCCCTAACTGTGAAGTAGTTTTTTCGGATGTCCAATCTGTACCTCCTCTCCATCAACTTGTGCCCATTACTCCTTGTTATGCCAGCGGGGGCTAGGGGAAACAGCGTCTCCCCCAAACCCTTCTGGTTCCCCCTAGTGAGTTTATAGACGGTCACCAGGTCCCCCCTCAGCCTTCTCTTGTGGAGGCTGAATAGGTTCAGGTCCTGCAGTCTCTCACTGTAGGGTCTGCCCTGTTGTCCCCGGATCATGCGGGTGGCCCTCCTCTGGACCCTCTCCATGTTGTCCACATCCCTCCTGAAATGGGGCACACAGAACTGGACACAATACTCCAGCTGCGGCCTGACCAGCGTCGCATAGAGGGTGAGGATCTTCCTGGTGAATAATTCAAATCTCAAGGTTGATGATAGCTTCTTTCATTTTTGTTAATGATTCACATTCTTTTCTGAATATAGAGCAGAACCTGGAGAGAGTCCACCTCAGAGGTGTCTCATGTTTAAATTACCTGTAGAAATGTACAGTTTTAAATACCACTAAAAAGTTTTGTGCATATTTACTTGTTTTCAGTTCTTCCCCCCAGTAAGGGCATACTACCAATCCAGAAGCCTGAGCCTGTAAAATGAAATACTTTCAGGACCAGAGGACAAACCTGAAGTTTCCTGTGGCCAGTTCTCATAAATTAGAAGGAATTAAGCTATTTACAAAGTGGTAGGAATTTTTTCATGATATTTGCAAGGCAGCCCAGATATTATATTCCAATTAATCAACCACTCTAAAAGTGTGTTTAAAAAAAAAAAAAGGAAGAGGTGGGGGGGAATCTTTTTTTTTTTTTTAAAGAAGAGATGTGTGTGTGTTCTAGTACACTAGAATGTGTCTCATAAAAAAAAAATGCTTTTAAAAAGCAAGAAAAAATTCAACCTCTCAGGTGCAAAACATGGAAAAGCATGCCAGAAAAAAGAAGGTGCACAGGGAAATTCTACTGTATATTCTTTTTGGAGTTTAATATTACATGGATGGGCTCAGCATGTTCATGTACATGTCAGCATGTGAGAAATTATATCTGAAATTGAGGATTAGAGTGAAAAATTAAAGTCCCATGAGGTGAAAGCAACAGACAGTGTGATGACATTAAGAGTTCAACTCTATTGTATTTCAAGCTAAAAACACTAATCCAGAGCCTTGACGGCTCTGTCAAACAGTGAAGCAACAGCTTTTCATAACCTTCAAAATGGTTACTACTTTTAATTTTTGCTTTCACTTGTATGGCTCATCTCTGCACTTCCATAATCAAATTATTTGTTCCTTACAATTTCATGTATTTTAAGCAGGAATACCACAGGTGCAGATGTGGTTGAATTAAATTCTATCTTGTAAATTCATTATTTTATTTAGACTGTATCCAAATGTCCTTTGCCTGAAGATTGAACAGAATACAACTGGGGCAGAGAATATTCATGACGATGAGTGAAACGGAGATGGTGGTAGGCATGTTCAGAATAAAGCCAGAAAAGTGAGGAGTCTAACAGGGCGAAGCAACAGCAACAGTTTTAAAAAGGAAACTTGTCAATAAAAGTGCCTTTCCAAATGACAAACAAAAGCAACAGAGAAACATTATTTTGGAGAGAAAAGCCCAGATGAAGCAAATGGAATAAAAGAGGAGAAAATCCAGGGCAGGGAGACAAAAGTTAGCAATACACTACTAGTACAATCCTATCTCAGAAAGGATGCCTGAATTATATTGGAGCAACAACCTAATATGTTTTAAGACATGAAAATAAATTCGATGACATGACATGAACACAGCTGGAAAAAAAGTCTAATAAAGTCATATTATGGCAACTCCAATTCTGAGAATGTGAAAAAGGGTTACTTAAGGCTTTGCCAGGAACACCATCCTGGGAAGGCTGCTACTAAAGGATAGAGGCAGGCAAAGTTCTTTGGTTAAATGTGATATCTTTTATTATACAAACTGAGCAGTTGGAAAAAAGTTTTTTGCAAGCTTGCAGGTGCAATCACTTTTCTTCAGGCATAGGAAGTCTCTGCTGTTCTGAGACTCCCAAGGAATGAAAGAAGATAAAAGTTAATTCCTTGGAGTCTCAGAACAGCAGAGACTTCCTATGCCTGAAGAAAAGTGATTGCACCTGCAAGCTTGCAAAAAACTTTTTTCCAACTGCTCAGTTTGTATAATAAAAGATATCACATCTAACTACAAAATCTTTCCTGTCTAGGTCCTTAGACCAACATGGCTACAACCAAAAAAACAAAGGGCAGAGGTAGGTGCAACATGAGACAAGTAAATGGGAGCCAAACTCCTAGCTCTGCTACTGGAGTTGCTGTATGACTTCAGTAAAACTGCTTAATTTCTGTCTCTCAGATGTTCATTCTGTAAAATGAAGGTACTGTTTTAAAATACCAAAGGAAAAAAAAAACCTCAAGAACATTTGCAAAATCATTATCTGAAAGTTGACATGTATGCTAATGTATAGTTGTAATATTAATAGGGTCCCTTGCTATCTTAACTGACTACCTTAAATTAACTTATTCTTAATACATGTCAATTTAAGCAGATACAGTTGTTCAGAAGCACAAGACTAGAAGGAAATTTCTACATCATCAAGTCCCAATTCCGGCTGTTTCAAGCACCATGTTATATAATACCTTCCATAGAGGTAGTTAGCTATATCTTAAAAGCAGTCTTGCTTTTTGTCTTCATTGCTCCCTTTACCACTACTTACAAACTTACATTTCTTTGCCTCTCCCTTTACTACTACTACTTACATTTCCTTCCCTATATAAAGAAGTCTTGTGAGACTTGGATGCTTCTGCAGTATGTTAATGTTCTTAGTTGGAAGATACTGGCTGCATACACACATTCAAAAAACCTGGGAGAATACTCCCAGGTTTGCTCTTGTGTATAGACATTTGTATGATGAAGTCCTGAGGAGTGGAAAGCTTGCAATACTGACAATGAAGCTGGGAGGGACCCAGTGCATACATCTCATCATGCTCCACAGGCTTCCTTAGTCTGCCTCTGACAACAGATCACAGCAGTGCATAGAGCAACTCTGACTGGCTATCCCAAACTGGCCATGGTCAGCCTACATTTCCCTGCAGCACAATGTCAAGATTGTGAAGGGGAAGTGTTCTGGAGCAGCAGAGTCCAGCAAGCAATACATTGTCTCCTTGAAGAGAAGGGGGAGAAGCTGGAGGACTATGTTCTCTTCTGAGAATGTATGTACATGACACACACAAAACATTTCTGTCCCAGAAGGAACTCTCCTGGGAGTGATTTAACTCTGCTTGTTCCCATGTTTGGACTCCTAGAGTGCCTATTTTTACCCTGGAGTGCCCATTTACCCCTGGGAGAAAACTCTTGAACATCTGTACATACAGTGACACTCCCAGGAGAACCTGAATGCATATATGAGGCTACGACTGAAACATGAGCATAATAGGTATAATATCAATTTCTACGCCAAGAATGCCCTGCCCAGAAAACTTCTGAATTTACTCTGATGCTGCTGATTCACTCACCGTAAGAGCTAGAAGTTTCCCATATGTAAGGTGCGCTGGGATGTGATCGCCCTTGGACCTCAGTGACTCCACATACCAGTGTTCTGCTTCAGGCAGCTTGCTTAGTCTCATATAGGCTTCACCTACAGAGTAAAACAGATTAGTCAGGGGACGTAGGATTTTTGTCAATGTATTGTGTATCCACTTAGCATATAGACAAAGATTTCTAAGATGATAGACTACTTTGAATACTTGCAAAATGGAAAACACTCAACCTCATGGATACCTGAGTGATAGAAACAGCATTATAGGTACATTGAGGATGAAAGTCTTGTCAGAAAGAAGCTGAAAGTGAGAACCCCAGCTGCTAATATCAGTCAAATTTCTGAAGTAGCCACATTTATATCACATCTACTGTGCAAAAGCTATTTCTTTTCAATCAGTCTACATTACACAGCATGACTATCAGTGAAAATACAAAATTTGTTTGTGCTAAACCATAACACACTGAGATTATAGTAAAAACAAAACTAAAAAACCCAAAAGTAACCCCCCCCCCCCCCCCACCAAACCTGAAAGAGGTTAATAGTTCCAAAACTGTATGAGAATAAGGGAAGAGAATCTTAAAAAAAAATTAACACAGCCCTTGCTGAGTCTTGTTCCCTGCCATCACTGAATAAAAGCATCAATGCTTTAATCTGATTTGAACTTGGTAAGGTTTTAGGAAGTGAACCAGTGAGAAATGATCAAAACCAGACAAACTTTTTAAAGCAAAATCCTTTGTTCTGAAAAACTCAGGAAGAAAATGTACAAGGACAGTGACAGAATGATAGAAGTAAAAGAACCATGCACTATGGGACAGACGGTTGTAATCTTGAAGTTTTTGAAAAATGCATTTAATGTACTGTAGAAGAATCCATTTGAAGGGACAATCAAACTGAATCTTTCAAAGCCATGAAGCATGGCAGCTTTCAGAATACTCCTTTGGATTTACATAGAGCATTTTATAAATACACCAATAATTATAATAAGATAAGATTTTCACCAGTTGAATAAAATGACCCATATAATCTCCCTTCAAAATAAATGATTATGTATTTTTCTATTTTCACACAAAACATATAAGCATTTTATATTGGAAAGTGTTCTAGTTTTATGTTGTTGTAAAATAGTGTTCTAGTTTGAATATGACCAGGTTTAATGCATGTTTGCTCTGCTGTACCTTGTCTGTTTCTCAGTCTTAAAAAATATTGCACCAGAACATAGGCAGGCAAGCTCCTTTGTTTAGAACTTTTGTCTAGAACCCACCCTTCTGTTTACTGGAAACAAGAAACCTAGCTTTTTGTTACATAAGTAGGGGAAAGCAGACCCCTAGCCTAATTGGCCAACTGGGCCATGTTCATAGATTCATAGATTATAGAGTTGGAAGGGACCCAATGGATCATCGTGTCCGACCCCCTGCCCCTGGCAGGAAAGAGGACTGAGGTCAGATAACCCCAGCCTCTGCTTGAAGACCTCCAAGATGGAGGTCTTCAAGAGGAGACTTGACAATCTTGGAGGTCTTCAAGAGGAGACTTGACAAAGTTAGGTGACAGCACCACCTCTCTTGGAAGGCCATTCCAGACTCTGGCCACCCTTACTGTAAAAAAATGTCTTCCTAATGTCTAACTTAAATCTACTCTCCACTAGTTTGCACCCATTATTTCTAGTTACTCTCTGAGGTGCTCTGGTAAACAGCACATCCCCAATTCCCTGCTGTCCTCCCCTGATAAATTTAGAGGCTGCTAGAAGGTCACCACTCAGCCATCTTTTGTATAGACTGAAGAGATCCAGATCTCTCAACCTCTCCTCATAGGGTCTTTCATGGAGACAACTAATCATGCGAGTGGCCCTCCCCTGAACCCTCCCCAGATCCTCTGTGCACCCAAAACTGGACACAGTACTCCAACTGGGAAGTAATCCCTACACAAATCAAAGGGGGTAAGATGGCGCAAAGGCCCCCCTTCGCTAACCAAAAGCATCCGGGAACGTCGCCAAACAAGAAAGGAGGCGTACACCTGTTGGAAGGGAGGGGCCATCACAAGAGAGGGCTATACCTCAGTAGCTCGGGAATGTAGGGGGGCGGTCAGGAAGGCCAAGGCGGAAATGGAGCTGGGACTACTGACCCAGATCAAGGACAACAAGAAGTCCTTTTTCAAATACATAGGGGGGGTAAAAGAAGGTGCCAAGTAACGTGGGGCCTCTGCAGGTCATCTGACCTGATGGTAAAGCTGACATAATTCAACAATTTCTTTGCCTCCGTATTTCTGAGGGGGGACCCGGATATCTCCCTCACTGGCCCCCCTGAGGGCCCTGTGGGTGGCACACCCAGGCCTAGTGTTATTGAAGACCTTGTCAGGGAACTTCTGGAGGGACTAGATGTATTTAAATCCACAGGTCCTGATGATCTCCACCCCAGAGTGCTGAAGGAATTAGCAGGGGTCATTGCGGGACCTCTGGCACAGCTCTACGAGCACTCATGGCGCTTGGGTGATGTGCCGGAGGACTGGAAAAGGGCCAATGTGGTCCCCATCTTCAAAAAAGGGAGGAGGACCACCCAGGAAACTATAGACCTGTGAGTCTTACCTTGGTCCTGGGGAAGCTTTTCGAAAGAATTATCCTGGCACATGTCCAGGAAGTGCCAGCAGGGGAAGTTATGCTCAGGGGCAACCAGCCTGGGTTCATTAGGGGCAGGTCTTGTCAAACCAACCTGGTGGCCTTTTATGACCAGGTCACCAAGTCCTTGGATGTAGGTGTTGCAGTGGATATAGCCTTCCTAGACTTCAGGAAGGCCTTCAACACAGTCTCTCACCCCATTCTCAGTAAGCAACTAGGAGACAGTGGCGTTGATGCCTACACGGTCAGATGGGTCACTAACTGGCTGGAGGGCCACACCCAGAGCGTAGTGGTGGATGGGTCTTATTCGACCTGGAGGGATGTGGGCAGTGGGGTTCCCCAGGGCTCAGTCCTCAGGCCCGCACTATTCAACATCTTCATCAGTGACTTGGGCGAGGGGGTAGAAAGCACCCTGTTCAAGTTCGCAGATGACACTAAGATGAGGGGTGAAGTGGGTACGCTAGTAGGAAGGAACAGGCTGCAAGCGGATCTAGACAGGTTACAGGGGTGGGCCGA